TGGGGGTCGCGTTCGCCCCAGGCCTCCGGCGTCGCGACAAAGAGCACGTGGAGGGTGGGCAAGTTCCCGGCATTTTCCGCAGGGAGCGGAAGCAGGGCGTTGGCCGCTTCTGGAAGTCCTGAACGGGCAAAGATTGACGGCGCCCCGTCGCCACTTTCGCGCACCTTCCACCGGCGGCCCCGCCGACGTGCCACTCCCGCGGGCCTCGCCGAGGGCGGGATGTGCCGACGGCGAGGCCCATGTCGGGAACGCGCCACACGGCTGCAGTGGACCAAGTACGACAAGAGGTCTCGTTACTAGCGATAGGTGGGCCGCATTCATCGTCCATCTCTTGGGGGCCCCAAGATGCCACAGAGCTTCCGTGGCTCCCGGAGGCCATCGGGGGATACGACGCTTCCGTGGGCATCTGCTGGCAGTTTGAGCTCTTCTTTGATGTGCCCACCGCGCTGCCTCCCGCACACGACCCGCCCAGGAGTCCATCGAGCGCTAGCGCATCCCGACCCGCCCCGTGGCCGCGCCGAAGGCGGGCCAGGCCCTGCAGCTCGACAACCTTGGCGCCGACCTCGGCACCGAGGATCAAGGGGCTCCGAGGGGGAGGCGGGGCTCTGGACTCCAGGGCGACCATTTCGATCCCTCGACCTTTCGGAGGTTCGGGAGATCATTTTTCTGGGCCCTCGGGGCCTTGGTGAAGCCTGTCGTCGCCACGGCCGGATCCGCCTCCAAGTTGTGGCTGGGGCGCGCGAACGGACGGACCCAGGCGTCGATGTTGAAGAGGAGATCAGAGGTCCGGGCCTCTCGCATGGTGGTCAAATCGCGTCGGAAGTGTTGTGGCAAGTTTCAGCTCCCCAGGGGCCGTTACTGGGGCGCGGAGCCTTCAAGGAGTTGCTCAGGATGAAAACCGCCGGTCCCAGGGTCCACGTCGTGAAGAGATCACGAAGTCGGGGTGTCCACGTCGCAAGCATAGCAGCGCCGTGGGCGCGTTCGCAATGCTCCGACGCCCGCGGGCCTACTTTCTGCCCCTGGGGCCGTCAAGCAAAGCAACCCGCGACGAACAGCCGATCCTGGGGATGGGGTCGAGAGATTGGGGGCGCCCGCGCGGGAGGGGACATGTGGGGCAGGCAGGGGAGAGGGAAGTGGTATTGCTTGCCTCCTGAGGTTCGGCCGGGGCTTGCCGAGCTGAGCGGGCGGCACTGTGTTCACAAGTAGCTGAGTAGCGTGCTGCTTCGAAACAATAACTTAAATCAGATCCCGGTGCACAGCTCTTCGCAGAGCTTGCCATGTACAGAAAGCAACTGGGCATTTTTCTTCGACCCAGATTGCAGCCTACCTGTTGCACATTCTTGACATGCGCTGCAGCGACGACCTTCCGCAATGGCCACGATCGGTGCCAGCAGTTCTCCCATCTTCCGCTCCGCAGCGACACCGATGAAGGAAGTTGTTCTCCCGCTCTCTCACGATGAGCGTCGCAAGACCCGGGGTCTATCGTCAGCATGAGGTCTCCGCGGGGAGGGCGCAGGACGGATGCCAAGGGTCGCACGCGAGCGCCGTCTCTTCAACAGTGGTGCGCCGCGCTGGTCACCTGCGCAAGGCGTCGCGCCAGCTCGCCGCGATGTCGTGGGCAAGTCCTGGGCGAAACACGGTCAAACGCGGGGCGCTCTCAGAACTCGTCGTTGAAGGCCTTCGCGGCGGAGGTCTTGACGACGGACTTGGCCGGCTTCGTCTGGAACGACGAACTTCGGGAGGCCTGGGACGGGTTCGGTTAGTGCACACGGGGGTCAGCTAGAGCGCCCGATGTTACAGGATCCTGCACAGCCAGGGGTGCATCGACCCGGGCTAGGGCGCAGGATCCTGCAGAATCTTGCGGGACCTTGCAAAGCCCGAGTGACCCGGGTTTGGATTGACCCGGGCCAGTACCGTCAACCCGCAGAACCAGGATCAGCAATTTTCCAAGATCGCCCTTGCATGTTTGCCCTTCCGCCCATCCTTGGCCGCTTTCGCTGGCCACGCCCCGCTCGCAAAGTGTCGACATGGTCTACCAACGCCCTTGCACCCTCCTCGTGCGTCCTTGTTCTGCTGGTCGGCTTTCGATCCCCGAGAGCCCGCGGCGCGCGGAAGGCCTCCGCGGGGCGGGCCGCAGAGGGACGAGGAGCAGCGGCGGGGGGGGGGGGCCAGACAGCCGACCACCTCCTTCGCGGAGACACGAGGAGGCCGCTGATCGAGAGGGACGTGGGCGTGTTTTTGCCTCCCGAGGGCAACGCTCGCTGCCCGGGCCAAGCCCCCCTCCCCACCCCCCCACACCTTGTGTCACGCTAGCGATCGTATTGGGGGGCGGTGGCATGGACCCCCCCCCTGCATGCTGTGGTGCGTTCGGTGGCGCGGACGCACCCTGGCGGGTGCACGCCGCGGCCGCCGTTACCGCTGGCTGATCGCCACCGCCCACCGAATCACCCCAACCCAACACGAATGGCGCGGGATCTCGTCGACGCCGATCTTGGACACGGTCCATGCTGTTCGTCGCTGATTCGGGGGGGTGGTCCACGAGTTGACGGCAACCACGATGGACTGTGGCCAAGATCGGCGCCGACGTTTCCGCGTTCGTTTTTGGGCGTGGTCCTTGGTTCCTTTCCTGCCAGTTGAAGAGAGGCAGAGGCCCCGACCCCGTGTTACGGCAAGTTCCCAGGGCCCGGACGGATCGGACTCCTTAGTGCCGGCGTTCTCTGTCACCTTTGGCCTCCAGGGGCAGTTTTTTTGGGGGCACCAAGGAAGCGTCAGATCAGGAGCCGGGATCCCTTGGGCCGCGCGGCATTGAAAGGAGTTTACTTTTCTTGGACGTCTGGGTTTCGCGAGTTCTGTTCTTCTGGGTCGGTCTGCGGCAGTGGCAGAACCAAAAGGTTATTCCGAGGTGGGTGCGACAGGATCGAGGATGGAGAGTGGATCGAGCGAGAGGGACCCTGGTCGCGAGCCCTCGGAGAGTCGGAGGCTCGGCAGGCCTGTTCGTTTCTTTTTCTGCCGTCCTCCCCGCGCCCCCTCCGAGAAATGAGCTCGAGGATCTAGCTAAGCGCCGGAGTCATCGGAGTTCCAGCGGACAGCAGCGTGACAATGCGTATCGTACATGCCGCTTGCACTTCAGAACTACAGGTGCCGGCGGTCGGGAGAGACCAGCGGAGACAATCGCGAAAGCTCGGCCACGGGCAGACAGGTTTCGATACAGACGGCGTGACGGAAAACAGTCGGATAGATCGCAGGTCGGTGCACGGAAGGGTTGACGGCCAGACACGGAGGCGGTCACATCGCAGGCAAAAGCATTTAGGTTAGCGCTTATTATGTAGGTATGTTACTGGCCGAGGCTGGCCGAACGTGCCAGTCTCGAGCGCGGGCCAGATCTTCGCCGCAAGCCCCTGCTGAAGCAGGAGAGGTGCACGCATTCTCCATCTCATGATGGGCACATTTTCCGCCACCACTACCATGGGTAGGAGAGGGAGGAGGAGGAGGAGGAAGAGGAGGAGGAGGAGGACCAGTGTAAACCCAAGAGCCATCAACGATGTTGGAATACACCCTCCCTCCAAGCTCCCTCTTCATAGGCCCCTACAACGGTTCATTTCCATTGAGGGATCTGCCTCGTTGGAAGACAACCGTTTGAAGACCCGGAAGCATGCCAAAACATTGTTCGCGGGATTCCAGCGCCACGGATCAGCCTGACTGTTGCGTCTTGACGATCGTGGATCGTACCAGAACACCATTCTTGGGCTTCCAACACCGCGAATCAACGTAACTGGTGCACCCGCAAAATCCTGAATCCTTCCAAAATACAATTTCTGGTTCGTGATCGTGGGAACCCATGAAACTCGTGCAACTTGTATGAATGAATGTGCGCGGCGCTGAGGCGAGAGCCACATTTGAAAAGGAACCGCCCTCAATCTGTGAAACCCCCCCAAAAAAAACGAATATCCGCGGCGCTAAGGCGAGAGTCACATTGCGAAAACGGGGGATCCTCAATCCGTGAAGCTCTTGCAAATTTGTAAAATGAATGTGCGCGGCGCTAATTCGAGAGCTACATTTTGAAAACCACCCGCCCTCAATCTGTCAAACTGTTGCCAAATCTTAAGCTTCAGAGTCATACATGGTGACGAAATTTCAGGCAAAACGCCTGGCCCGCCCTAAAACTGGCCTCTGGATGCGACAGGAAGGTATAAGGAAAAGAAATGGAGAAGGGGGAGGCGGAGTAGGAGGAGGACCTCCTCAGCCCCCCTTCTCCCCCGCCCTACATAATGATAGTGGTGGTGAAAATTTACCCATCATTTCGTGCACCACAGTCTTCAGCCGCCAGGGCGGCGCCAGGGGGCACGGGAACGGTCGGACCAGCCCCCCGCAGACAGCGGATCGGCTGCCATTTTATTTTCGGGGTCACTGGTGCTCCCTAGTTACGCTGCACGCTTGGGGAGCTTTTCTCTGACCCGGAAACTGCGGCCATATGCCCTCCCACTCTACGCGGATTCGGCGTGGGTCCAGCGAAGAGTCGACGTGGATCCGGCGTGGATTCGATGCGGATTCGACGTCCGACTTTGGCTCGACGCGGATTCGACGCGGCCAGCGGAGCGACGGGAATGGGACACACGAGGCGTTCTCGAAGAGGCAACGTAACCTTGGGGACGGCCTGTGCGGCTGCTCCCGGGCCCCATGGGCCCTCGGGCCGGTTCGTTGACAGTGGCCCGCGCACCGTTTAAATGCGACGCTTCGTCCCATGCTGTGCGCAGCGTCATGGGCATCGAGCCGCCTGGGCCCCCCCACGCCTATCGTTTTTTTTTTTCTCTCTCTCTCTCTCTCTCTCTCTCTCTCGCTGCACGGTGGACGCCTGAATGGTGCGCGGCATTTTCCGTGTGGCGTCGCTCGCTGCAGCGTCCCCACGAGACTCGGCGACGAGGCCAAGGGGCCACTTGGAGGGGCCGTCCTTCCGGGAGCCCAGCTTTGCTTCCGAGAAGCCCCCTAAGAGGCTCCCGGGTTGCCTCTGCTCCTCTCCTCGGAGCTGGAGGCAGCTCCGGTCGCCGCTTTCCCGCTTCTCCGGCCTCCGCTTCGCCCCCCCACGGGGCAGAAAGACTGTCGATGGACTTGCGATGCGCGTCCGACCGCTCGGAGAAAATCCGGACAGGTGCATTCCGCCGCAGCCTCCAGTTTGCCGCTTTCCTCTCCCCCGTCGTCAGTCGCCGGGCCGCAGTGCAGGGCCGCAGTGCAGGGCGGCACAGACAGGAAAAAAGAGCAGACCCAGATGGCATTGCTGCCTGCACTTCTGCTTCGGCTTCCGCATGCCAAGGACTTTTTGTCTGATATTGCGTGGATTTCCCAGCAGTCTTGAGCCGTGAGAGGAAATGGCAGTGAGTGTGTTTGTTGTTTTTGTTCGACCTCCCCGGGCCCCCCTCGGCCTTTGGATTGTCCACAGACGCTCCTCCAGGGAGGAAACATCACACGACGATAATTGGCGTTTGCCAAACGGCCTTGGGCGTTTTCCAAACAGCCCTGGCCTGTTCGATTCCCTCTTTGGGCGCGTTTACTCAACGATTTCGCGTGTCGGGGTGGATATAATCATGGGGGTGGATTGTTTGACTTCTAGGCTCGGGATGAACAGCTGGTCTGGAGGAAAGCCCCAGGGCCCAGGATCCTTGTCCGTGCTCCCCCTTTTTGCCCCCCCCCCCCCCTCTGACGACCCGCACAACCAGGAAAGAGCGAGCACACCATGGAGAGCCCGAGAAGAATGTCTGAAGGGCTGCGCCCTCCGCCGCCCCCCCCCCGCAGCTTGTTGGCTTCTCTTGTCGGCTGGCCGACTGGCAGCTCGACGGATTCGCGTGCTGTTGTCTGGCGTTGTCGGTGCTGCTTGCTGGCCGGCCGCGTGCGCGCGTCTGCTGTGCCGACGTGTCCCCCGCTGCCCCGTCCGCGTCTCGGACCCTAGTCGCCGCTGGCCGAAAGTTTGCGCGCGTCTGGAATTTTGAAGTAGAGGTGGTAGCCGCGGGAGCGCGCTTCCACGGTCGTCTACGAAGGTTCGCGGCTTCGGGAGAGCGCGCGCTCCTGGCTATGTTTGAAGAGTCGTGGCGTCGGCTCCTGAGCTAGATTTCTCTAGAAGTCACGGGGGGGAGGGGACAGCGTTCCCCGAACGCCTATCCCAATACGGCAGGTTCGCGTTGTGCCGACCAGCGGCGACCCCTCCGCGTGCGTTTCAGGTTGCACGCCGCCCGTGGTCCAGCATCGGCCCGTCGTTGAACGATCCGGCGTTCACGGAACGTCCGATCGTTCAAGTTTGAACGGTCCCCGCGGTGTCAGGAACCACCGTTGGGGTCGACACGACGCGAACTTGCCATACAGACAAGAGCAGTTTCGGCTGGGTTCGCGGCTCCGGGAGCGCACATCTGTAGCAACAGAGTCATAGCAACACACCTGACTTTGTCGCTTTTGCTCTCGCCCCCGGGAGTGCGAACAACCTGACTTACTTTACGAGGGGGGGGTTCATCATGGACGACAAGTATCTCAGTATCCGCGGCCTTGCGGGCCGGGCCCCTGGGCCGCAACCCCGCGGATAGTACGGGGCGTTACTTTCGGGGATGCCCGTCGCGGAACGTACGCGTGCGATTCCAGTTTCCCAGGATCGCGCTCTGGAATCCAGATTGCGAGGGCGCGAATACGGACATGGTCGCCGTTCGCGAGTTCAGATTTGATCCAGCAGCAGGTCTGCCCGTGTGTTCGGTAGCAAATCATGAGGGCCTCGCATGCCTTCGAAAGTCCGTTTTTAGATTGCACTGCCGCGCGCTAGCGTCTGGTAGTCGATGAGGACAAGCGGATTTGGCGTCGATCAGCGTCGATCGAGTAACACCGACTAGCGTCGGTTAGCGTCGACTCGCAAGAACCTGATGTCATGGGAGGCCCCATGATCGGCGGCGAGCTCGGGGGAAAGTGAGAAGGGCCGAAGGCTCAGAAGTTCCCCGGTTTTCTGAGAAGTGTTCTAAGCCTTCCCCGAAGACACCGAAAACCTCTCATAAGGCCAGGGGGCTTCTCGGAAGTCCCGCCGCCTTCCTGCCCCTGGGACCGAGCGCCACGGTGCTCAGCTCGGTGCTGGCCCCTGTTCCGCTGTTCGTTTCGTGCTGCGTTGCTGTTCCGTGGTGTCTCGTTTCGGTGCCCGTTCGCTTTGGCGCACGTGTTTCCTTTGAAGCGTCCGTCGTAAACGTTCGGTGTCGTCTCGCTGTTCCTATCTGAACGCCGGTGCGTTTTGGACGTCGCTGTCCTCTGTCGGCCCTGGGGGCACTGGGGGGCACGGGTGGGCCCCTGGGGAGCCTGGGGGGTACACGTGGTTCATTTTCGAATTCTTCGAATGTTCTCTGACTTCTTTTGGGGGGGCCACGCTCCTCGCAGTTCGAATTGTTCTATCCTGGGCCTCTTCCTGGCCACCAGGGGGCCAGGAACAAGCAGAAGCGAGCACAGTGAGAAATGAGCACGATCAGAAATGAACGACGTGTACCGAGAGGGGCGCTGGATGCTACTGGGTGGCACTGGGGGGGGGGTCCTGGGGGATGCTGGGGGCACTGGGAGGCCCTGGCGTGCCCTGGGGAGCCCTGGGGGGGTATCGGGTCGCCCGCGGACCCCATACAGTGCCGTTTTCAATACATGCTCCGCGTGCGGATCATGTGTAAGAAATGCAGGGATTTAGTATTGAAAACAACGATGAGCTCATGCATGAATTTATTAGTCGATTAAATCATGTATTAAAACCTACAGTTTTATCAAAATCTCCTGTATTTAAAACTGCCCTGTAGGCTGCCGCCGAACGCGCGCTTCTCCGCGGCCAGCTCTGGCCCGAGGCGCGCGCGCGCGGCGAAACCGCCCCTCGCGGATGGCCGCGGCCCGGCCCGCGGCGCGCGCGCGGCCGGCCGCGCGGGCGCCGCGGGTGAAGAAGGCAGGCGTGCTCTCCTCCTCGCCCTCCTCGTCCTCCTCGTCCTCCTCCTCGTCCTCCTCGTCCTCCTCGTCCTCCTCGTCCTCCTCGTCCTCCTGCCTCTCCTCCTCCTCCTCCTCCTCCTCCTCCTCCTCCTCCTCCTCCTCCTCCTCCTCCTCCTCCTCCTCCTGCCTCTCCTCGTCCTCCTCGCCCTCGGGGCCACACAACATACGTACGGTAGGCTCGGGTCGTGGCGATTGGCGGCGACCCCGCTGCCGGCGTTCCACGTTGAACACGCCGTTGGCGACCCAGAAGCGGTCGATGTTGAACGACTTGGCGTTTCGGCAAAGGCCGATCGTTCAAGATTGAACGATCCCCGCGCTGTCAGAAACCAATGCCGAAGTCGGCACGACACAATCCTGCCGTAAGAGCGACCTTTCGCTGGAGCGAGCTCTGGTGCGGGCCCACTGGGGTCCCCCGATCGCCGAGCACGAAGCGCGGCTTGCGCGCCCAGATTTGGCCACCCCGCGTCCCCCCTTTAAGCCGCGCACCAAAGGTCGCTCTTGCCTAGGGTCACTCTTGCGTGTAGCCGACCTCCTGTCTCTCCTCGTCGTCCTCGTCCTCGTCCTTGTCGTCGTCCCTGCCCCCCCCCCCCCTGGAGAGCGGCGGCGGGCAGGCGCTGGTCGACGGGGAGGAGGAGGTACGAGGAGGGTCGGACCCAGACTCCCTCAGGTGATGGAAGAAATGATGACGGGAGGTTTGTCGCTAGTCTCGGCTGCTGGGGGCTCCCACCAGCCTTCGGGACCGTCAAACAACGAGTCGGGATGAAGCACCCGTCCCTGAGAAACGGCTTCAGACTTCCTTGGGGGTCCACGTCAAGAGAAACTCACGACGGAGGGGGAGGGGGAGGGAGAAGGGGGTGGCGGGGGGGGTCGAGGGGGGAGGGCGTGGGGGGCAGAGGAGGAGGGAGGAGGCAGAGGAGGAGAGGAGGGGCAGGAGCCGGGGCAGCGGCCCTGAACGGGGAGGGTTGAGAAGCGAGGAGGTGGAGGAGGGGCAGGACGGGGAGGGCGAGGAGGAGGAGGAGGAGGAGAAGGGGAGTACACGCAGCACCCTGCAATTGTGGACAAGAGTGAGGGAGCGGGCGCGGGGTGGGTCGCGAGTGAGTCGCGGGCGGGTCGCGTGTGGATCGCGGGGTGGATCGCGGGTGGGTCGTGGGTGGGTTGCGGGTGGGTCGCGGGCGGGTCGCGGGCGGGTCGCAGGTGGGTCGCCGGCGGGGTCGCGGGCGGGTCGTTGGGTGGGTCGTTGGGTGGGTCGCTGGGTGGGTCGCGAGAGGGATGACGACAACAACAACGCAACGCACTGCAACAGCAATCCGCACCGTGCAACCCCATTTCAGCGGCGCGCCCAGGGGCAGTGGATGACCGTTCGGCCCCTCACCCTGATGCTGCGATGGATCACGAAGATCCTGGATGGAGACGCTGGGCATTGCAGGGTGGCGCATTGGACCTCAGGATGGGGTCCACCACCTGCGGCACCCGGCCGGGCTCCCCTCGGCGCGGGCGGGTCCGGGGCGGGGTTGGGGGAGCAGCGGCGGGCCTGCGGCCGACGCCGCGCACGTCCGCCACGGGTCGGGGCGGGCGCGGCGCTCCTCGCCCTCGGCCTCTCCGCTCGCGGTTTCCTCTCCTTCCCCTGTCTGCTCCAGATTTCGTAATAAAGGGAGGGAGGGGGGGGGGGTCTCTTCCAGGCTATCTTGGAGGGCCTGGGGGGTCTGGGGACGATGTTTTGGAGGGTTCTCCCACAGGGGAGGTCTGAAGTGGCTTGTCTTGGAGGGTCCAGACCCCCTCCCTTTTATGACGACATCTGGAGGACCCCAGACGCGGCCCAGGGAACAACCTCGCGCCAAGCGAGGCAAGTTCGGGGCGCCAGCCTTCGACACACGGCGAGAGCATGGCGTGGCCAAGTCAGCCAGGTGGTGAGAGCTCTTGGCGCCACAGCACAAACATCAGAGCGCATCGAGGCCAGGATGAAACGCGGCATGATGAGTGGAACGAACGAACCTGCTCATCATCCACACCGAAGCAGTGAGCCTGAAGGTGGCCCCGCCCACTCCATCTTGTGGCAAGGTGTCTCTAAAAACCGGCGGGTCTGATGGGCAGCCGCCTCACAACCACACGAGGAGCACTCAGCAAAGTCGCCGCACAGGATGGGACACGTATCTGGGTCTTTCCAGCAGCTCTCACAAGCTTCTGTCTCGCAGTCATCTTCACGCGGACGGCAGGCGGCCAAGGGGGCGGGGTTTTTCCTCCTCGGACATATCAGACATGACGGCGAGCAGATGTGTCTGGCACCGCCACGTCATGGCATCTGCAAGACTTGCCGACGACGACGCCCCGAAAGGGACCTTGACTTCAGACACGAAATGCCCCGCGACAAGATCGGCAATCGAACTGGCAACGAAGAAACTTGGAGCGATTCCTTGGTCAAACACTTCTTCCGCAGAGAGATGCGAGGGAATCTGCACCAGCACCACATCTCTCTCCTGAGCCAGGGAAGCCACACGCTTCTACACATCAAGATGCGAGACACTCGTTGATAGTCGGCCAGTCTGGACGTTGGCGAAGCCTTTAGCGACACAGGACGAATCGGCCACATAGCCGGGAGCCTGTCTGGGAGATCTCCGAGAACCTCAACGTTGCCCAGAGCCCCCCACGATTGACCGACGGTTTCCCCGAGATGCCGCCCCCAGCCACGAAGCGGAGCTGCAACTCGAGGTCAGACATGGCGAGGCCCTGCTCAAACACCGCGACGCCCCAGGAAGCCCTCCTGACCCTCCTCCCCCGCGAAGACTCACCCCCGCCAGCATCTCCCGAGCTCCGACTAGCAGGAACACCCCATAGGTAAACGATCAGAAGGGAAAACAAACACAGACACAATGAATCGTCGATCCCCGGGAAAATACGGGAAAAGATGGGAAGTGGGGGGGAAGACAGAAACCCTGAAGACATGGGAAAATATGGGGAATCTGGTTATTTGTGTGTATTTATTGGTGTGCCCCAAATTCCCGTCAAACGAGATGGGGCTGTCAGGGGGTGGCGGCACGTGGGTCCAAGACTCGGGTGCGACGCCGCGGATCCAGAGCATGGGAACTTCGGCGTGCAAGAGCTTCCGATCCTCTTGGGGGAAAGGTGAGAGATCTGAGTTCGCAGGGCACTCGTAGAACAGAGGGTCGGGCCGGACGAAAGGGGGGGATTGGGAAAGGGGGGGGGCGCGAAATTTGCTGCATGCAGCGCTGGTTTCGGCCCCACCGAGGGGCCCATTCCTCGATACATGGCCGCCTCCGGCGCCAGGAGGCGCTGGGAAAATCAGCTGCGTGAGCTGATTCTCAAACCCCCCCCTTCGCTATCCCCCCCTTTCGCCCGGCCCGCGAGGGGCATCCGTCTCGCGTGCCGGGCCGCACCTGGGGAGAGCCCCCTGAAGGCTCGCCTCCCACACCGAGACTCCCGGCCCGAGACCAGGTCCCTCCGGCGAGGAGGGTGCGCCACAGACCTGCTTCCTTTGGGGGGCTTGCGCCTGAGCTTGGCCAGATGGCGCCAAGCGACGGTCACGTCCCATCCCTTCCTCGGCCCCCGCTCCATTCCTGACCCGGGAGGTGGGGGCCCACAGCTTTGATTCGATTGAGGCCGCACCCTCCTTCCTAAAGCCTGAGCTCATGACAGCCTGGGTAGGAGATCCCCATCAGGAGCCTCCCATCGCCAAGGTCCCTCGAGCTTCCACCCCCAGCTCAGCATTGTGGGGACAGCATAAGACACGGGACCCCTGATGCTGTGCCACCATTGTCGGGGCCCCATGGACTCGATCTGCTCCAAGATGTCCCTCCAACACCCGTGAAGTCCGTCAGTCTCTCTACTATAACTAGGTGGGGACGCAACAGCTCGGAACCAGGACCTCCGAAGCTGAAAGACGGTGGAGAGAAAGCAGGGTCCTGAGGGAGTGCGTGCGGAAGGGCGGGAGGGAGGGTGGTGGGACGCAGCTGTGAGCGAGAACGCTGGCTCCTCGCCACCTGCGGGCAGCCTGCTCCCAGCCTGTGGTGGCAGAGAGGCAGCCGGGGGGGCGGGCCTCGCCGAAGCGGTGGGCGAGGGAGAGCCTGCCGCCCCCGCGGCGCCCGCACCCCGTGCGCCTCGGCCCTCCTGGCCTCGCGGCGGCGGCGGGCCTCGGCGCGCTGGGCGGCGAGGAGCTGCCAAAGGACTTGGCGTCGCTCGGAAGTGTGCGTTTTTTTCCTCGGCGAGGGCCCTCGAGGAGCATCCTTGATCATTTGGCGATGTCTCAGCCGACGTGTTGCTCTTTGCTCCTCCTCCTCCTCCTCCTCCTCCTCCTCCTCCTCCTCCTCCTCCTCCTCCTCCTCCTCCTCCCCGAAAAAAACACGCACGAAACCGAAAAAAAGCACAGGACATGGACGCCCGAGCGACGGCCAGAGGAGGCAAGGAGCGGGGAGGAGGAGCGCCGGCAGCGGGGCGCGCCGCCCCTCCGGCCATCGGGGGGCTCCTCCTCCTCCTCCTCCTCCTCCTCCTCCTCCTCCTCCTCCTCCTCCTCCTCCTCCTCCTCCTCCTCCTCCTCCTCGCCTCGCCCGCACGAGAGGTGGCGGCGAAGCGGCGGCGCAGCGGCGCGGGCGGCGGCTCGGTCCCTGCGGCGTGCCCGGCGCCAAACGTGCGCACGCCGGCGCCGGGCACGCGTCGGGGGCCCCCTCCTCGCGGGAGCATGTTTTTTTTTTTGACTCTGGCAAGTTTACTTGCATGGACGGGGGGGGGGCTGCGCCTGAAGCAAGCCGCAAACGACTTGCACGTTCGGGGGGGGCGCGGAAATCACGCAAGTCGAAAGGCACTTGCACGCTAATATTCGCTTGAAGAGGGGCGAGGGGGGGGGGGGGGGGCGGGCGAACGCCATGCAAGTAAACTTGCCTGAATCCAAAAAAACAGGCTCCGGCCCCCTCCCCTGGCCGGCGCCTGGTCGTCCCCTCCCTCGGGAGCGAGAGGGGGACGCCCACGTGCATGGATCCACGCTGGTTTCGAGGGGACGCATTGCGCAAATGTTCGCATCACGCGGCCAGTCTCGCGGATCGAGGGGCCGTGTTCAAGTACATGGTTGGGCGCGTACGTCGTTTGTGGGCTCCGTGCTCCCCTCCCTCCCTCCTGCACGGTGGTTGAATTATTCGCCGAACGTTGCCCCGTTTTTCGCTTCACTCGCCGGCGCAGTCCCTTTGCCTAGCCGCCGACGAAAAAGAAAGTATCGGAGGCCCCCAAACGGTGCGCAGTTTGGTGAATCAGTTTGGGATTCGGGGTGTTCGGACGTCGTCGCTGGTTCCTGGGGGTCTTCCTGCCTCGGGGCGCGGCAGCAGCTGCGCCTCGCCGACGGCGTTCCGGGGCTGCCCCGGTCGTCCCGAGCGGCCGCCGGCGATTCGAGCGGTGCCCCGAAAGCCGAGCAGTCGGAGGAGAGCCCACGTGGTGAGTCAGTCATCAGAGCGTGAATTACCTACCCCGCTTTCGCTTCCAGGCAAAACCAAGCCATACCACGCGCCTCCTCGTCAAGCGGCCTGACCAGTACGGGCTGCAGTTTGGCATCGTTTGGTATCTCTTGGAAGCGAGGGTGGTCAAAAGCGAGGTAGGTTTGTTTTTCCCCTTATTTTTGTTCCAAACCCAGCCCCCCAGCCTCAGCTCTCTTATCTCCATTTTGCCATCTTGCCCCCAACCCCTTTCGTTGCCTTCTCCCTTCCTCGCTCTGTCCCCTTTCCTGTCTCCGTCCTCTTCCTCTTGTTTTTCCCCCATGTCAGCGGGATTCGGGGTGACCGCACAGCTTTGGGACTCGGGTCGTTCTCCGAGGGTGTCTCGGGCGACCGGGGGGGGCCTACGGGGTCCCAGAGCCGTGCGGTCACGGACCGTGCGGTGAGGTCTCTCTGGAGCTCGAGGTCACCGCGCGGTTTGTCACCGCACCGTTTTGGACCCCCAGACGTGTCCCCCCTCCTCCTCCTCCTCCTCCTCCTCCTCCTCCTCCTCCTCCTCAGCTCAGAAGCAAGAATCGAAGATGATAAAAGTGCATAAACAGATGTTGTCGGAGCTCCGCGCGGAACTCAAACAGTTTATGTTTGGGTATCTTTCCTTCTGAAGAAGTCATGGTATGTCACACCATACTGCGTTCCAAGATGTCCCAAATGCTCAAGACTCCCTAGAAGTCCCATCGCTACGCGAGGGCTCTAGGAAGAAGGGCTGCCAGATACTCCAGAATTCCTGGAACGCATCTTGGGCTCCTCGCATCATGACGTGGACATTCCGTCCCTCTTCTCCTCATCCCCGTCCGCCTCCTCCTACCCACCTCCTCTTCTCCCCTTCTGCTCGTTTTCTTCCTCTTCATCACATAAAAGCCATGAGGGGGGCGGGGGAGCAGGAGGAGGACGCGGAAAGGGAGGAGGCGGAGGAGGAGGAGGAGGAGGAGGGGAGACGGAGGAGGGGGAGGAAGACAAACGGCCAGGATGAAGAAGGCGGGGGAGGAAGGGCAGCGGTGAACGAGATACAGGCAGAGGTGGATCAGGGAAGAAGGGAGGACGGGGACGCGGGGGCAGAGGGGGGGGAGAGGGACAAGAGGAGATGGGGTAAAAGCAGTAGAAGGACGAGGAGAGGAAGGAGGGGGGGTTCAAAGAGGAATGAGAGCTCAAGAGGAGGAGGAGGAGGAGGAGGAGGAGGAGGAGGGAGGAGGAGGAGGAGGAGGAGAAACATGATGATGGAGAAGGGTGGGGATGAAGGGTAAAAGGGCGATGATAGAGGTGGACGTTGATAAGGAGGAGGAGGCCTAGCGGGAAATCGGGCGAGGGGAGAGGTGGGGAGGAGGATGCGGAGAACGCACATGGGCGCAGCTGGAGAATTGGAGGAGAAGTCTTCCCAGCCACGCCCGAAGGTCAAGGTCAAGCCCGTGCCCATCCCCGCCGTCAGGCTCGGCAGCGCGTTGGGCGGCCTCCTCTCCCTCCCCCCCTTGCCTCCTTCTCCTCCTCCTCCTCCTCCTCCTCCTCCTCCTCCTCCTCGTCCTCCTCCTCCTCCTCCTCCTCCTCCTCCTCCTCCTCCTCCTCCCCAGTCTTCCCTCGAGCGCTTATCCTCGCTGACTCTCCCCCTGCTCCCTCATCCATCCTCCCCGTCCTCTCTCCTCCCGAGTCCCCGGTCCCCCCCCCTCTTCCGCCCCCTCTCCTCCGCCAGAACGCTCCGTTCTCTGTCCCCCTCCGGGGCGGCGCCTTTCTTCGGGACGGGACTCTCGCCGGAGCGCCACACCATTTTGTTGAGGGTTTCCCAGCGGTTGGACGGATGGCTTTGGCAGGCGGGGCCCTCGCACTGCGACCTCCTTAGGTGCAGTGGCCAGAAGCTGCACATTTGCGCAAGGGTTTCCGCCCGTGCAGGACGGCTCTTTTGCAGAGTACGCCGCTCGGGGGGGAGGGAGGAGGAGGAGGAGGAGGAGGAGGAGGAGGAGGAGGAGGAGGAGGAGGGAGAGGAGGAGGAGGAGGGAGAGGAGGAGGAGGAGGAGAGGAGGAGGAGGAGGAGGAGGAGTGGGCCCCCTCCTCCTCCTCCTCCTCCTCCTCCTCCCTCCTCGTCCTCCCTGGCCTCCCTGGCCTCCTCCTTCCCCCTGGCTCCTCATACCCATCCTCCTCCCCCCCGTCGCCCTCGCCTCCGATCGCCCTTTCCAGATTTGCCAGGGATTGTCCGCCCCTGACAGATAAGTGAGTGTCATGTGGCCCGAAAACGGCCGCCAGAGGCCCAATCAGAAAAGCAGGAAGGAAAAACACCCGACGGCTGTACGATCTGACCCGCATCGTGCTGCAGCACATCCTTGCTGTGGATATGAGCCCCGTTCGGGGACGCGGTCATCATTGTCGCTGCCGCCGCAGAGAAACCAAGAAATGCCGTGAAAATGCGCAGAACCTCCGGATCGGCCCGCCGGCTGCCTGGGCCCTCGTGCCTGTTGCGGCTGCTGCTGCCCACTTCCCTGGAAGGCGGCGTGCCCGTGGTGTCCACGGCGGTGCCACGCCAGAGGGAGGGCAGGCACGAGGCAGAGCGAGGCAGACAGCGAAGCGACGACGGCAGCGCGCCCGCGGAAAGCATCCCAACGTGTGGCCCTCAAGGTACACGTTGTTCATCTCTAAGTTTTCGAAAGTTCTTTGATTTCTGTTGGGGGCCACGCTCCTTTCGTTTCTGATCGTTCTATCCTGGGTCTCTTCCTGGCCACTAGGGGGCCAGGAACATTTAGAAACGAGCACAAGCAGAAATGAGAACGGTTCGAAATGAACGACGTGTATGGGCCCGGGCTCCCCCAACAAAATGGGGCAAGCTTCGTCCTCCTTCCTCCTTGAGATCCGCCGTTGCGAAAATAATGCAACATTTAGAGAGAGAGCACGACCGGTGCCCTAAACCCCATCTTTCTGTGCCAGCCGTTGAGCTGAATCAATCCGCGATGGTCCTGTGGCCCGACATCAGGCAAAACCGCCCAGTGTGAAACAGATACTACGCCAGGATCTCAGGGCCTCTTCTTCTTCTTCTTCTTCAACGCGCAGCCCCAAAGGTTCCGACCCCTCCCCAAGGGGTAATTTTCCGTCCCGGATCCATTTGTGATGGCCGCGGGGCCTGACAATCGGGGACGCTCTGAGAATGTCGCGGCGCCCGAGACATCCTTCAGATCCGCCTCATCCCAGAGATTCTTGATGTATCCTCACCCGATTTTCGCCTCGTCCTGGCTTCGTCTTACCCAGAGGCCGAGATGGAGGAGAAAAGCCAGGGTAGAAAAGCCATCTTGTCTGAGATCTGGGCCCCCGCTCATCCTCGCCATCGGTTTGACGTTGGCCAAGCATCAGCTCGAGGCTGCTGCGTCCCTCGGCGACGTGAACTCTTACAGGGACGGGCCTAAAAAGTTCCCAAGAGGACGAGTGCGAGAGGAAAAAGCGTGATAAAATAACGCGGAACAGGTGAGAGAAGTTGGATAAGTAGAGCAGCGATCCAGAGCAAGCACAGTGTCGAAGACGTGAACCACCTCCCCGCATCAAAACCGCGATTTTCCCGGCCAATATATACAAAGACCTTCACCGAGGGTAAGTTCCAGAGCCTATGATTTGATGATCAGCTGCAACTCTAATGTGCAAGTGCTCTAAGCGCGATCTTGCCGCGGACATAACTGGCATAAGAAAACAGAGGGGTAATTATTGGGCTGCTACCCCAGATCTGCGCGGTTCGCCCCAAGACTCCTCAGCCTCGGGAACTCTGCGCTTTCGACATTTCTTCTCGGGCTTAGCACGAAGCCCAACGGACCACTGACGGCATGCGGGAAACTTAGCTCTGGCGGTCAACACGCTCGCAGTGGTCGACTCGCGCATCCTCCTCCACCACCGTAATCTACCCAACCCTCTCAAAGAGCATGTGTGGCCTTTACCGAAGGTCTAGAGCCTAGAGTGCACAGGGCCTAAGTTCTTATGTCCTGAGCTCGGTTCGGGCCAATGCACCGATGCCCGTCGAGCTGGATTGAAACGGAGCCGAGGCACAAGGTCTTGGCGATCAACACGCTCGCACCTGTCGACACGCATGGTATGTTACAGTCCTCCTCCACTCTATTGTTTGGGATTGCCCTCACCGAGAGTCGGAATAGCTGCGACCCGCTGTCGCATTCCCAACGCAATGCCGAGAAAAGATCAAGCTATGCGCAAGCTATTCCTCCTCCTCCTCCTCCTCCTCCTCCTCCTCCTCCTCCTCCTCCTCCTCGCCGCCCTCGGCCCTCATCGCCCTCGGCCCTCATACTCGGTCCTCGTCTCTCCTCCTGGTGGCCCTCTTCGCCCTCCTCCCCTCAGGCCCCCGCCCTCCTTGTTGCACTGCGCGCCGCGAGTGTCCGACGCTGGCGCCGCGCTCCGTGCAGTTTCCCCCGTCGCCCCCACGGGCGCAGGCACGGGGCTGCTCCGGGAATGGAGCACGGGGACCTCGCGCACCCGAGGCGAGAGGCATGCCACCAGACCAAGCAGCCAGCTGGACATCGAGCGTTTTTCGCAGCTGCCATCGGGCACTGGTCGAGCCGCACAGCGCACCGCGGGCGCACTGGCGCGCCAAGCTAGATTGCGCACGCCGAGGGTCGAGCCCGGGTCACAGGCCTGGGAGGCTTGTCCGATGCCGCTGAGCTGCACGGCGCCCTCCGGTGCGCCGTGGGCCTCCGCGTCGGGGCGGGGCTCCGCCGGGCGCCTGGCGCCCTCCGCCTGGCGCCCGCGGCGCTCCGTGGCAGCGGGCCCATGGAGTGACCCCGGCAAGTCATATAGGTGCCGGATCGGCGGCGAGCGCCTGGAGCGGAAGCGAGAAGGGCCGGAGGATATTCTCGGGAGGCTCGGAGGTCCCCTTGCATCGCTCGGACGTGTGCATTTTTCCTTCGGCGAGGACCGTCGAGGAGCATCCTTGATCATTTGGCGAAAAAACCACGCACGAAATCGAAAAAAACACAACAAATGGACGTCCGAGCGATGGCGAGGAGGAGTTTTCTGAGTTTGCCCATAAAGGCACTGAGAGCGTCTCGGAAGGCGCGAGGGCTTCTGAGAAGTCCCGGCGCCTTCTGAGGGGGCCTTCCCCTGCTCGCCGCCGACCAGAGTCCTCGGCCGTGGAATGCCTGGCGGGCCGCGTCCGCAGTGGCGTATCGGACCCTGGCGTAGCCAGGAAGCAGCTCGCCGGCAACGATTGGGTCGAAGAGGCTGCAGGTGGCCTGAAGTGCCGAGAGGTTGGGCTCTTCGTCAGGGCCCTCGATGAGAATGGTGGCCGCGTCGAGGACCTCAGGTGCTGCTCCCAAGGTTGCAAAAGCCAGCGCCGCCAGGCACGGTGACGCGGGCGACCCGCCGCCGACCTCGCCCTCGCGGGAGGGCGGCGGCTTCATGGGCGCCGTCCTCCCGGGAGCCGTCCTCGGGCTCCCGGCGGCCGGCTGCGCCTTTCCCTGCGGCACGGGCAGACCTCTCGAGAGCCGTGCCCGCGTCGGGAAAGCAACAGCCAGTCGCCAGCGGCCTCCTGCGGCAAGTCCAGGCACGCCGCTGCGCTGCACCGGTGCCAGACCCTCGGTTCTTGGCGGGAGCGCATCCGGCGTGGCTGGGGCATGAGATCCGCCCCAGCCCACTCTGCCGAGAGAAGTGGGGACGAACACGGGCGCCTGGGGTCTGAGATTGCTCACGCACGGGTGTGGGAGCCCGTCCCTTGGGCGCAGGGCTGCGACCGGTAGCCAGGTGGAACCTTCGGCCGACACGTCCAGTGGCGCGCAGCGTTCCCATTTTGGACCACCTAGTCCATTCGCAGTAAGGCCTGAGGGCCAAACAGTTGGCGGTCAGCCGCCAGGTCCAGCGATGTCTTCAGGGATCGATGGTGTGGTACCCCGCACTGGGTATCCAGGGAACGCTGAAGGGCTGTGAGCTTTTGAAGTCGGCGGTCCTCGTTTGGAGGATGCCTTGGACTAGCTCCGTCCCCAGCGCGACGAACGAGAAGGCATTCCGGGCAAAATGGGCCGAGCTGTTGGTGTTGAGATATTACGTCTTGCCAAGACGTCGCAAAGCTCCAAGCGAGAAGTGAACAGAGGAACATCCGTCGGCCCTGCGGCCAGCAAAGTGCGTCGAGCGAGACATGTGTGAAGCACGTAGCTCAGAATGCAAAAAGCATGCCTCCTGTCGGCTCTTGGGCCAAATTGGTTCCTAAACCCTCCTCCTCCTCCTCCTCCTCGTCCTCCTCCTCCTCCTCCTCCTCCTCCTCGTCCTCCTCCTCCTCCTCTTCTACGCTCGTCTCCGCCTCTTTCTCCTCCTCCTCCTCCTCCTCCTCCTCCTCCTCCTCCTCCTCCTCCTCCTCCTCCCCCTCCTCCCCCTCCTCCTCCTCCTGTACTCCCGATCCCCCCCGCCCTGCCAGGCCCGGCGGCCCCTTCTGCTGCCTCCCCGCTGGCACACGCCCAGCCGCCGTCGCGGAGGCCGCCCGGCAGGGGCCCGGCTCGGGGCGGCGCGCGCGCGCTGCGCCACTGGTGCGGCTGCTGCCGAAGCCCCCGGCGGGGCCGTGGGAGCCGCTGGCCGACGTCGGCGCCCCCGGGCCTGGAAAAGAGGCCTGGGCTCGGAGCCGGCTGGCTGTCTGAGAGGGCCCGGCATCGGTTTCGGCGAGCAGGAGTGGGGGGGGGGGGGGGCTCGAGGTTCCGGTCTCGACCCCATGTTGGGGGCTTTGTGCGGCCTCGGGGGATCGTTTTCGGACCCCGTCACCATCAAAGACGGATCCAGAGGAAAAAATGCACCAGATGGACCCCGTGAGGGGTCCAGGGGCAGATTCTGAGCGGATTGCCTTTTCTATCCCCCCTCCTAGCAGAGGCTTTGGCGATTGTTTTCTGTCCTCTGGCGCGTCACGGTCGCTGCCCGAGCCGAGCCCCTCTGCCCCCCCCTGCGGTAGCGGTGACGATCGTACGTGGGACGGGGGAGGGAGAGGAGGGGGGGCCTGCGCCGCCCCCCCCCAACGCGCTGATGCTCGCGCACACATCACGGCAGTCGCAGCGCATCCACGCCTCGAAATGCCACGTCCTGCCCAATCAGGGGCCCAAGCCCGCCCCACGGGAATTGCCCGCGACGGGAAATACCGAAAACGAGCACGAGCATAATCCGATCCGACAGATACGTTTACACGCCTCCAGGCCTGATGGCTCGCCTCGCGTCGCCTCAGCTCTCGGCCCCGCGTCCGCATGCCTCCGCGCACCTGTGGCAAGATGGATCGGCGGGACGCTCTTACAGGAAGGAGGAGGAGGAGGAGGAGAAGGAGGAGGAGGAGGAGGAGGCGCCCCGAAGTCGGGCTGGGCATACCGCGTGCCGGGGCACGGAAACGTGGGGACGGATGTCGGCGCGAGAGGACTGTGGCGAGCCTATACCCTGACTTCCCGAAGAGCATGCGAGGGCGATCTGGAGCGGGGAAAGATCATGACCTTGTGGACGTCGATGAATGGAGAGGAAGCGTGCTGCCAGATAATTTCCAGATGTCTAAAACATGTTTCAAACATTTTCCCTATATGCTAAAAACATGTTTGACACATGTTTAGACCATGTTTTACGCATTTAAAAACACATCTTGAATCCAAAGACAGGAGTATTAGAGTGTCCATTGTCATGGCATCCACAATCATAACCGTGAGGGGGTGAAGGTGATGGCCTCGAGAGGGGTTACAGTCGTAAGCATGGTGGAGGTCGACGGCACGGCCGCGGCAGGATCTCAAATCATGACCGCCTAGTGGGTTGACGGTAATACGTGAAGGGGCGGTCACGGTGATGATCATGTCATGTGGGGGCAGGGGTGGGAATGGTGAGTGGAATGTTGGTCAATATCGTGTGGGATTCCAGGTATACACCGTGAGCGGGGCCAACGTGATGCCCACAAGGAAGGAGTCAAAGTTATGCCGGGTTAGCTTCCCACACGATGTTGGAGAGGTCTTTCGGCGAGACGCGGCTGCCAGTGATATGTCTGGAGGGCAGTGACAGGTCGAGCAGACCATCCTTCCTCGGAGTGGTCGTCGGGCCATAACTCAGGACTCAGGCGCCCGTTCGGGACGATCCAGGCACCCCAGACACGCCCTCGGCGAAGCGCAGCTGGTGGAAGGCATCGCGAGGCGAACGAGCGTCCAAGAAACAACGAAGTACTACATGAACCAGGACCCACGGTGTCGCTTCAGGCAGTTGCCCGAGAGAGTTTATGGCGCCGCTCGTTCTTGGGACCCTTGGCGTTCACAGTTCATTCGTTCCCGCCAAAAGTGCGCCCGTCACTGGGCCGTCTTGGGGCCCCAGAGGGCTGTTTGAGAGGTGTTATCGGTGCAGATCGGGGGCCTCCTAGGCGTGTCTTGGAGGTTTTTTATGGACAGTGTTGGAGGCAGCGTGGGGGAGCCTTGGGGGCGTTTTGAAGGCGCTTGGATCATGTCTGCGCCCTCGTTCGCCGTTTTGGGGCACCTTTGTGCTGGGGCAGTTTTGGAAGCTCCCTGGGCCGTTTTGAGGCGAGTCTCTGTCGGACGCCCTCTTGAGCCGTCCTGGGGCCTTGCTGGCCTCTTCGGCAGTGTTCGGGCGCTCCCGGAGGCTTTTTGGGGCCGTTTGGGGGCGATCTCGGGGGCCACGTGACAGGGGGAGTTTGGGGTTGCCAGAGGCTTGAAGAAGGCGAGAAGGCCGACATGTTTTAAACTCGGTTGGAAAACGATGGAAGGTAACTCTCGGTGCCCACTTGGGGGTCTAATGGGGCAATCATTGAGGGGTAGTTGGCCCGTTAGGTTGTGTTGCGGCCACATTGGAGCCATGCGGTTGTCTATCTTGAGAATCGTTGCGAGGGTTTGGGGGCCGTCTGCGGCGTCAAGAACTGTGCGGGAGGCTAGCTACGGAGGCCTCGGAACTGTCCGAAAAGTGCGTCGGGAACATGTTTTGTGAGTTTGCAGGGCGTGGGGCGGGGGCCATCCAGTGGAGGCGGTCCATGCGGGGCGTTTCCCCAACCGTGTTTGCATTCGTGGTGTTTTTTGTTGTTTCTGTTCTAAAAAACTGGGCCGTGTCTTCGGTGTGGTGGCCATGTGGCCGCCGCCACCGCCGCCCCGCAGCCGCCTCGTCGCCGTCGGTCGCCGCTGCCTCGTCGCCGCCCGTCGTCTGGGCCTGTTTGTCCGTCTGGCGGCCACGCGGCCGCCGTCGCCGCGTCGTCGCCGCCCGAGATTGCTCAACGTACATTCTCTCCCCCTACAAGAGAATCGGTTCCATCACCCTCCCGAAGGCGGACTTCACGGTTCCCCCTTCTGGGATGTGCAAGTTGCATATGATTACGCCCCGCCGCTCCTCTTGAACATGAAACATTGGGCTCCCAGCTTTGCCAGCATCCCCCCCCGCCCGCGTCTCTTCTGCAAAAAACGATGCGCGCACACCCGTTGATCAACATACAGTACGTTTCAGTCTTCATTTGGCGACACTGACAAAATGCACGCACGCAGGCCGTAATCATCCAAAATAAAAGATTTCGCAGGGATTGTATCATCGAGTGCGACAAAAAATGCGTTGCAACATAACGTTCCGAAAAAAGGCTTGCACGCGCGCTCTGTCGAGTTCTTAACAAAACCCTTGGTTGTCCAGCATGTTCATACAATTATTTAATCGCTTCGCTCATTCCGCCGGCCCATACAGTCTCATGTCTGCCGTTTGCCCGAGGGCCTGGTGTCAATGCGGCGCTTTGGGGGTTCCTGGGGCCGCTTGGGGGACTCCTGGGGCGCTCGGGGGGGCATTTGGGGGGCCTCCTGGGGCCGCTTGGGGGACTCTTGGGGGCCTCCTGAGGGCCCCGTGGGGGCCTCTTGGGGCCTCTTAGGGGCCTCGTAGGGGCTTCTTAGGGCCGAGGGCTCGAAATGTTGTTTCGTGTTCCCTCTCTGGGGCCCCTTTGGGGGCGTTCTTGGGGCCCTCTTGGACCGTTTTGGAGGCTTCTTGGGCCGTCTTCGAGCCCTCTTGGGCCATCTTGGGGCCCTCTTGGGTGCCTCTTGGGCCCTCTTGGGGCGATCTTGGGGGCCTCTTGGGCCGTCTTGGGGCGTCGGGAAGCCGAAAAGGTGGAAGCTCCAAAATCTCTCAAAAACCTATGGAAAAACAATGATTTTTGCCTCCGGGGGCCCTATTGGGAGTGCTCTTGGAGGCCTCTTGGGGCGTCTGGGGGCTATCTTGGGCGTCTTGGAGCGATCTTGTGGCATGTCGGACCCCTCGTGTACCATCTTGGGGGCCTCTTGGGGGCCTCTTGGCCTTTCTTGGGGCTCTCGGGGACGTCTCGGAGCCCTGTTGGTGCGCTCATGGAGCGCTCGGGGGGACCCGGCCGGGACCCGGCCGGGACCCGGCCGGGACCCGGCCGGGACCCGGCCGGGGACCGGCCGGGACCTGGTCGGGGTACTTTTCGTCCGGGGACCCCCAGGGGCCGCCCCGCGCGCGCGAACTAGAAAATTGTTAACCAGTTACCGGAGATCTTAGCACGCCTCTGGCCCGTTGGGCCGGCGAATATCACACGTGCGTCTCTCGCGCGAATGTCGGAATCATTCGAACGCCGTTTTCGAACGCCCATGCGCGCGTGCGGGGGGGGGGGGGGGGGCACGGCCCCTGTATAATAACACCACGCAGGCCATTCGCGCCCGTCGGCCGCCCGCGCGCACGTCGAAATTCTTGTTCCCAGCCTTCATCGCCGACGCGTGGACACCATCCCCGTCGTCGTCGTCGCGATCGGCATCGGCGCCGCCGTTGGCCTTGCTGTCGTCGTCGCCACCGCCATCACAAGCATCGCTACGAGCATGAACTCATATGGTTCCGCAACAATCCGTAGCCGTTTCGGCTCAAGGCCATGAGACCCCAGACGACCGCGAGTCTCTCGAGGCGATCGAGCGCGAGGGACGTCTCCTTGCGCCAAATTCCTTCCACGATTTAGCCCCCACGCCTCTCGCCGGCGCCCGCGTTCCCCGCGCGTCGCACGCCGGCGGGGGAAATGCCATGTGGGCGCGGCCCCCCGCGCGTCGCGCGCCCACATTCCCCGCGCGTCGCGCGCGGCGGACGGGAAGAGCGGGCGGCCACGGGCGGCAACGGCACCCCATCGCCGGAGCCCTCGCGATCGGGGAGGGAGGAGAGGGAGGAGAACCGCAGCAGGAGTCAGGGCAACGGTGCTGGTGCCCATGGTGCGCCTGTTCCGTTCCCAGGAGGCGGTGGCCCCCTGGGCCCGTCGTGAGCGCGGCGGCCCTGCCGCTGTCTCCATCGCCGCCCCCTGCGGCGGTCGCCGGCGCCGCGCTCCTGCTTCTCGGCCTGCTGCCGCGGCAGGCAACCCCGCCGCGCGCTCGGAGCTGGCGGGGGTGCCGACGGGGGCCGCGCAAGATTCCATCGCTAAGGCGGCCCACGCGGCCGACCAGCAGCGCGCGACCTCCATCGCCAACGCCACCGCGGAGGCCCTCGGGCTCTGCGGCGAGCGCCAGGCCGCCAAGAATGCCCGGGCCGCGGCGTCTCCCACCAGCGCGAGCGCGAAGAAATGCGCAAGTCCATCGCCGGCCTGGAGCGCGCGACGCGGACGCGTCCACATT